TGAGATCCATTGTTTTAGGTGTCAGTCATCCTACTTCTTCCTGTAGTGCTGAATCGCTTCTTCTGGTTCGACACGCATCCTTCGTTCGCAGATCGCCTTCGGGTACGGAAAAAGATGGGCAAGCGAGCGTTCAGTGTCAAAGGAAAAGAGGAGAAAAAGTAATCGTCATTACTTTGGGATGGTTTGAAGGATCAGGATATCGTGCATCCTTCCATTTTCAGACCTGCCTTCAAGCGATCGGCAGCTACACGACGCAGTGTACGCGGCTCTTTGCGTTCTGGCTACGCTTTCTCGCATTCGCAAGGTTTTGGTGACCTCATTCTCAAAGGAAAACTTTTCAAGAATGTGGAACAACTGCGCAAGGAGTACTGTGATTTCTTTGTCATTCTTTCCGCTCAAAAAAAAGCGATGATTTCTCAGGGCTCGCGTCAACTCCGCTCCTAATGGCCTTTCCCCTGTCGTTGAACAGCCTCAGATGTTAACTCCGGTGCCTAATAATATAGAGGTGAGTGCCGTTCTCAACAAAACACATCTTTTCGCAAATTCTAGTGAAACTACTCAAAATACAAATCGGCTTTAGGAAAACAGACTTCAATTTCTTCTCACAACTACAATAAAACAAGAACGTTTTTTATTTTGGTTGCCAGACTGCCTTGGCGAAAAGTTCATACATTAACATTTTGCCAAGATTTTCCTCATTGGATACTTGTAAAGAATTGCAATTTGCTTTTTTAGACAGTTACAGGTACCTCTCCCAACAATTGGAAAATTTTTAAATGCCTTTTTCGCCTTTCTTCTGTCCCCTCCTTGCTTTTGAATGGCATTCATAGCCTTTATGGCATTAGTTGCAGCTACTGTTTTATCTAAGCTTTCAGCATTGTCATTTTGGAAGCGAAGATGCCCCATTTCTGCGCACAGCGCAACACTTTTGCTTCTTCGCAGATTCTGTAGTAATTTCTATAATTGGAATCAGGCCATGCCCAGCTTCAAGCAGGGCAAGTGCATCTGCCGGTTTCTAGTAGGGCAGCACACTAGTACATGCTGAGACATTCTT